TTCCTCACCCCTCCCCATACCTCACCCCCCATACCAGAGTTCTTTGGGGGAAAAGCATGATACAAATATTTTAAATCAATCAATCAGTAATGGATATATTACTGAAATGATGTACCTACTACTTGCTCTGAATTCCTAGATTTCATTTTTTTAAGACTTGAAGAAGAAAAGCTGTTTTTTATGCTCTGCTTTTCTCTAACCAAAGAGTCTCAAAGTGGCTTACAATCACCTTCCCTTCCTCTCCGCACAACAGGCACCTTGTGAGGTGGGTGGGGCTGAGAGAGTTCTGAGATAACTGTGACTGGCACAAGGTCACCCAGCAGGTTCCATGATCGAACCCAGTACTCCAGAGCAGAGTCCACATCTCCAATGGCTCTCTAAGAAAAGTCTCTAGACCTTTTTGTTACTCTGTTGCTGCTGATTTGCCACAACGTGAAAGTACCTAAAGAATTGCTGTTTTCTAGCATTTGTTGAACCATGAGTGTTAACTAAATTCTATACAAATGTAAAGGGCAGAAGATAAGCTTTGCAGACGTACAGTATAACAGAAACAAACTCCTCTAGTTGCATTCTCATTCCACCATAAGAAACAACAATCATTTAGATGGGATCAAGAGAGAGAGAAATGGAACATCTTACTGCATCTATTTCATTTAAAACTTTCCATTGCTCGTAAGGCACTCCCAATGCCTCTGCAGTCTGAATGGTCCTTTTCATCTGGCTTGTCCATACTTTCAGGTCTTTGATGTTTTGTTCATTAATAAACTGTGCAAGGCTCTTGGCAAACTGCAAAGCACATTAAAATTTCATGAGGAAATTACGGCTAATGAACCACACACAAGTTAGATATGCCAACAGGTCCTATTCTTCCACTACAAGATAATGAGGTCTTTCACAAAGAATGAGTGTATGACTTGAACAAAACAATTCTGATGGCATTTGAAATGAGAATCACACATGAGAGACTTTATATTGCCTACTCCAGTTTCTCATCAACAAAGAATCGGCTATCTTCATTCTCAGAAGGTAGGCAAAAGCAATACAGATTTAAGTGTTAAAGTTCAACCTTAAGTCTAGTTGTAGCATTATCAAAGATAAGGAAAAAGTATAACTATATTAGCCAAACGGCACATACCTCTTTTCCTCTGCGAGACAACCCTGTGTCTCCTCCTATCCTTCCCTTCAGATTTAGTTCACTTTCTCCATGCCGACAGAGGTAGATGGAACGAGGAGTTACGTGGATATTCATGAGGTAGTAAACAATCCGACTTTGGATGTGGTCCATTACTCGGTTCACAAGGTAACTCCTTCCAACGTCCATGATTTTAATATAAGAAAGATCCCTGATGAAAAGAGAACAACTTGCTTATAAGAATTATATGCAATCTTGGGTTCATTTTACAAATCGTTAAGTAATGTATCTCTCTGCTGCCCTTTCTTCTCTTCCTTTCCATTATCCAAGG